TGAGACTTTCGGAGGTGCAGAGGAAGGTCTGTCACACCCTTCATTAATATCTTAACTAGGTGACTGGGAATCTTTGCATGAGCGGCTCGTATTCGATGGTGACTTTGTGACTGATGCATGCTCACCCAAGGCGGATGAGTTGCCTAGATTCTGGGAAGATGGTGGAGACCTTTCTTTTCTCTGGCGAACAGAAACTATTCCTGACCCTAACTCGTCAAAGGATGCTGATTGCAAAGAATCGTTGGTTGGTTTCTAATTTAATTAATTTCCTTAAAAGCTTGTTGATGTCGAGGAAACTATTCGTCGTCTAGTTTCGGAGGAAGATTCTTATGAGGATCCCGCAATTATCGATGTCTCTAAGCGAGCCAACTATTTTCCTTTCAATGCTTCTTCAAATCACCAGGTTCCAGCATTTACCTATGCGCCAGAAGCAGTTTTTGATAGCAGTAAAGATATTTGGGGATGTCATAAGGGACAAAATTTTGAAGAAATCTCGTTAAATATGTGTAACCAGACTTTCTCATCTCGCCACGAAACTCAAGATTCTTCCCCGCCCATTGAATCTTCTAATGGATCTGATTTGCTTAAAAAATTTCTTATTCAATTAAAATTAGGATCTGCTAAAACCCTTCCGACTCCAACTTCCAATATATCTACATCTTCAATGAAGGAAAGCCTTGAACGTTCTAATCATAGATTTATTCCTCATGAATTTAAAACTCGTGATACTATTAGTCTTAATAAATCATTGAATGGGGTCACCTCTCATCGCATGGACATACCTTTTTCGCAGCCTGGTGAGGAAATAAACCTTAATAAGCCTGAGCTCAGTATTCCTCCACACGAAAATAAGAACGTATGTGTATCTTTTACTTACATTAATTTTCCAGAATTCATACCCTACACAATCAAGGTACACTTATGGTAACGCCATGATTGGTAGCCACAATACATCTTTTAACAGTCTTAAGTCAGTGTTACCTCTATTACAACACGGCTCTTCTCCCGATGGAAACATTTTTTCGCCTTCAAATAACTTTGTCAAAAAGTCTGATGAAATGCAACAGAAAGCCCAACCAGAAATTCACTCAAGGCATACTTTCCTTATACTTATACGTTTATTTATTACTTCTCATTATAATCTAGTTTTTATTTTCATTCTTTCCAGGATAATTTACGACCAAATTTCTCGGAGTGATCATTCTTCATTTTCCCTGCATAGTAGGTCTTTTGATACACAATCGACTACGTCTAAAAATTTACCACAAAACCCTCCATGTTCTAACAATCAAATGCAAATCAAGCAAAGAACATCTACCTTCGATTCGATTGGCTACAAAGCCCAGACTGGAGACTTAGGTCAAAATTTCGAGGAATTTGAAAGTGAAGAATTTGATTTTGATCCAGAACGAGATTGCTGGATGACAGATAATGAGCGTAATTGGGTTCTTAAAGTTCAACTAAGCCCCTTAATTGCAGTTAACCCTTATATGCAGGTAATTCTTCACTAAATCCTGATTCTTTGATAGCAAATATTGTTTACGTGAAAGTAATTGTCTGACATAGTATGCTCTGTATGTCCACTATCTTCTATTGTTATCATCACCTACAAAACATATCCATATAATCAAATTGATCTTTGTTTAGCTTTGACTAATTATATCGTTGATCACTTTCTTCTTAGGATTATTACTTTGCTGTACAGTGGCTTCGTAATTTGTCCACTAGACGTAATCAACTCCTTTCTATGGGCCAATATCCTCGAGACCTCCAATCACCGATATTCCAGCTACCAAGTCCACTTTCTATAGAATCTCTCTTGGAGCCCAACCATCCTCATCACCTTGCTATACGACATCGTCTTGCGATATCTGGTTATCTTAATTCTGACACTTCGTCACATTTACCTTTGGAATCCCTTCGTTCATCAACTACTGGGTCAGAAGTTGACAAAAATTCTTTAGGAAAGCCGACCAAGTCCAGTGTCCATACCCCTAGACAAGTTGCCGAGCTTTCCGTTGCTAATGCATTGTCCGAGCTTCATGCAGAACAGGTCTCTAATTTGCCAAATCGGCCTGTTTCGAATCATATGGTGAATGAAGGCAAATAGCTAATCTCTTTTATTGTTTAAAAGGCTGATTTACTCTATTTATTTTAGTTGACAGATTGCAACTCTAGAGTATCTCGCAATATCATCGTGGCCCGGCATAAAAGGTTACTTTTAGCCAAAGTTGAACGAGTAAGTTACCTCCAAATTGTTCTACTATATTAGCTTTAACTAAAAAACATTGAATAGGCTATAAATGCTTTGTGTTAGGTTTCTATTTTTATTTTTGAAGAGTGTATATTTTTCTCATTTGCAGATTTTAATGGCTTAACGCTGTATTTAGATACAGTTTACTATATCTTGTTTTTCAGTCCTATTGGTAAATTGATCTACTTGTTAGTTCCTTCTTACCTGCG